GAGAATGGTGTGAACCCGGGAGGCGGAGCTTGCAGTGAGCCGAGATCGCGCCACTGCACTCCAGCCTGGGTGACAGAGCAAGACTCCATCTCATAAAAAAAAAAAAAAAAAGTAATTTTGATGTAAAGGTATCATGGCTGGGCTCTGTGGCTCATGACCATAATCCCAGAACTTTAAGAGGCTGAGGCAGGAGGATGGTTGACCTCAGGAGTTTGAGATCAGCCTGGGCAACATAGTGAGACCCCACCTCTGCCAAAAAAAAAAGGGTATCCAAATATCTAGATTCTGATTTCTTTTGAGGTCCTAGACCCTTTAAGAAACTGATGAAGCCAGGCACCTCCTTCCTCAGGAAAATGTACAAATACACACAAAGCTCTTCAGGCAGCTGATAGATTTCCCCCAGAGAGAGATTCAAGGACTTCCTAAGGTGGGCGGACTCCAGGGTTAGGACACCTGCTATAGAGGTGACATTTTTCCAAGGACAGGTAGGGACTTTGGTCTTGACTGTTCCTTGAGTGCTTAATAAATAATACTAATTATGCAAATTCTAGTTTTGATCTTTTATGTGCACTCCTGTCATTGTCTAAAACTGTTTATTAGGGCCAGACATAGTGGCTCATGCTTGTAAACCCAGCGCTTTGGGAGGCTGAGGTGTGAGGATCACTTCAGCCTAAGAGTTTGAGACCAACCTGGGCAACATAGTGAGATCTCATCTCTACAAAAACATACCAAAAACAGTTGGCCAGGTGTGCTGATGTGTGCCTGAGGTCCCAGCTACTAGGGAGGCAGAGTCAGGAGGACTGCTTGAGCCCAGGACCCAGGAGGTTGAGGCTGCAGTGAGCTGTGATTGCACCACTCCACTCCAGCCTGAGCAACAGAACAAGACCCTGGTTTTTTTTGTTTTGTTGTGTTTTTTTGAGATGGAGTCTGGCTCTGTCGCCCAGGCTGGAGTGCAATGGCACAATCTTGGTTCACTGCAACCTCCACCTCCTGGGTTCAAGCAGTTCTCTGCCTCAGCCTCCCAAGTAGCTGGCATCACAGGCGCCTGCCACCATGCCCGGCTAATTTTCGTAGTTTCACCATCTTGGCCAGGCTGGTCCTGAACTCCTGACCTCGTGATCCACCTGCCTCAGCCTCCCAATGTGCTGGGATTACAGGGGTGAGTCACTGCGCCCGGCCTGACCCTGTTTCTAAAAATAAGTAAATAAATAAATATTAACCTTTTATTTAGTTTGCTTTCAAAATGGAGTCTCGCCCTGTCGCTCAGCCTGGAGTGCAGTGGCGCCATCTGGGCAATCTCCCCCTTCCCGGTTCAAGCGATTCTCCTGCCTCAGCTTCCCGAGTAGCTGGGATTACAGGCGCTGACACACCATGCCTGGCTTTTATGTAATTTTAGTACACATGGGGGTTTTGCCAAATTGGCCAGGTTGGTCTCAAACTCCTGACCGCCCACCTCGGCTTCCCAAAGTGCTGGCATTACACGTGTAAGCCACCATGCTCGGCCAATATTAACCTTTTATTTCACGTGACCAAGTAGCACCCGTGTGCCAGAATCAAGGCTGAGTCTCTTGTTCTCAGAGCAGAGGCACAGAAGGCCGCCTGGAAGAGGGGACGGTACAGACCTCAGCACTACACTTGTGTGCGTTCCATCCACAAGTCGTCACCAGAGGAGTTCCGACAAGCCTGTAACACTCATCCCAAAGTGTTCCCTCGTTGGGCCAGAAGCTGGAAGGGTACTTGGCAGAGCCTGCCTGGCCCTGGCCACCTCCCAGGTGTCTCTGCAAAATCAGAACCTCCTTCTCGCATCTAAGAGCAGAGGGAAGCTGCTCTTGGGGGATCCCTGGGTTCCAGATGAGACATTTCCCCAGCACCCCTCGGACCACTTAAAGGAGTGGTTTAGGCTGCCGGGGACCCAGGCACGGGCACCTAACCCCAGGACCCCTCCTCAGGAATTGTGCACGTGTAGGCGCTGGGCGCACGTTCCCGGTGCGAGAGAGATGACGGGAGGCGTCTTGAGGTTCCATGTGGGTCTGGCCAACAACTCTGGCCTTGGCCCCGTCCCCGAGGTCAAGGGTCACACCGTCGGGTTCCCATGGCCGTCCCCTCCCGCGTGGTTTCGGCCAACTCTGAGCCTGCTCGTACTGGCAAGAAGGAAAAGGGCTCTCGACGGAGCCTAATTACGGTGAGGAGGGGGCACCCCGCTGCCAGCAGGAGGCTAGGAGGCAATTAAGCACAAGAGGAATCCTAATAATGCACCATCAGTGAGGAAGGCATTCCGAAAGGACGCCCAAGCCGACCGTGAAAAGCGAGGAGGTTGAGGTTGCACCGCCGTGGAGACCAAGAATCGACTGCCGCTTGGGAAAGAGGTTCCAGAAATGCGCATGCGCAAAAGCCACGCGCGCGAACCCGGTTTCCCCTGCCTAAGCACGCGTACCGCTCTCACCGCCCACCGCCATCAGAATGGTGTTTCCTCGCAGCGCCTCTCTCTGGAGCGCTCCGGAATTGGCGCATGCGCAGTACAGTGGCAGTGGCGAGGAAGGCGGGGGTTGCACGTTGCCTGCCTCGAGCTCTAGGTGGCGTCATCCTTCGGGCTGAGCCGAAGCACGCACGCGCGGAGGTTCGCACGCGGGGAAGGGCGGGGGCGCGCCGCGAGATGTGTATAAGAGACAGGTCCTAGACCCTTTAAGAAACTGATGAAGCCAGGCACCTCCTTCCTCAGGAAAATGTACAAATACACACAAAGCTCTTCAGGCAGCTGATCTTCCACCGGCCCCTCAAGGAGTACTCCTTCCGTTCCGTGCGGGAGGAGACTGGCATGGGGGACATTCCTGATGTCAAGAACGACTTCGCCTTCATGCTGCACCTCATCGATCAGTATGACTCCCTCTACTCCAAGCGCTTCGCTGTCTTCTTGTCCGAGGTCAG